ATATATAATTAATTATGAAAAACATTGCTCAAAATGCATTTTTATGTTATTTTATATATTCTAGCTAGCTTATCAGCTAGGTTTTTACCAAATGTCATTTCATATAAGCTAATAAATAATTTTTCAGATTCGTGTATCTTATTTTTTGAGCTTTATAAACACGATGAATACAACATACGTTTTTCGTATATGGGTTTTGAAAATCCATGTTAATATATATTTCAGATCCGTGTTTCGTGTCTTATACATATTAGACAAATATTTACCCATTTAAACAGATATAAGATACATAAAAAATTCATGTGACATGCAACCACTATAAGGCACACATAAGATACAAATGAATATTTTTTGACATGTTATTTTTTGCTTCATGTACAATAGTTTAATATAACATGCAACCCTTATAAACTCATGTGTAAATTCGCATAAACACGTGTTTTCGTATAATACAGTTGAAATCATATTGTGTTTGTGTCGTGTCATATGTTAAATCAGGGCCGGTCCTGAGGAATCAAATATCATCAAAGGCCTAGGACGAGTAAGCAAAAATGAGCCCTTATCATTATAATAAGTTTTTAGTTTTAAATAAAAATATATAATAAAAAAAATTTGAGCCCTGTGCGACTGCCCACTTTGTTCCCCTCAACGCCCCCTAGGTGTTAAACAAATTAATTTCATGTTGTGTTCGTGTTTGATATACAAACACATTTTAGTATTTGTGACACGACACACGCTCACATTATTAGGCCTACACAATAATTTGAATCAAAATCATGTTTTTTAAATGACCCTATTTCGCGGTTGTTACCTTCTATTTTATTACTTTGTGACTATCTCTAAAATAAATGTAAGGAAAAGTATTTGTAAATCAAAAGCATGTTTTTTAATCTTTTATAATGCAATCCATAAACAAAATATTAATATAAGAGCCGGCCAAGTCGGCCGGCATCAACCCGGCGCCTGTGGATTTCCTGGATTCATCTCATCAAAATCACTAAACTACCCTCGTATGGACAAATGGCACTTCATTTTTTAGTTCAAAAGCTGAAATGAATTAGGAAACTATGTAAAAGGCAACCACAGTGAACAATTCACATTTTTAATTACTTTTTTATTAAATTAATGATTTAGAATTTCAAAAACTATTATTTTACTAACAAGTTTGAAAATATATCAAAAAGTCAAAGGGTAATATTGTAATTACATATCTAGAGCAGCCGTCCTATATAAAATTTGGCGCCACTGCGGTGAACCGGTTTAATTCCGTCTTATTCTTTAAAGTCCTCGCTGCGCATTTTACGAACTCCGCCATCGCCGTCGGCAATGTCCACCACCGCTGAGATCCTCCAACAAACCACCACCTTCCTCTCCGAAACAATCTCACAACCAGACATCCGTCGCCGTATCTTTTCCATCCTCCGTAACAATCTCTCTCCTTCCGTCCAACTCAACATCAAACAACTAAACCTCGCCGCTGACACACTTGAAAACGCCATAACCACCTCCAACCCCTCCGTCAGATCCTCTTCCCTCCGCCTCTCCGAAAAGCTTCTCCTCTCATTCCCACAAAACCCGTTTTCCTCCTTCTTACTCTCACTCATCTACACTCTCTGCCAACGCCCAATCGATGCTTCCATTACTCTCCTCAACCTCTTCGAAACTGACCCATCAATCGCAAGATCAGAAGTTGCACCCCAGTTGTTCGAGGATATACTTCTAATCAACTTTTTACCAGTTCTTGAGTGGTACAATGAGCAAAGATCACGAATTTTATCATCTTTGTCTTCAAATTGTGGATACGAAAGTGATGAAAATTCAATTGTTACGGATTCAGTTGTGTCGTGCACTACTTTACTATCGAAAATGAACGGAAATCAAGCTTCTGAATTGAAGGAATTAGAGAGAGATTATGAGCAAGTTCTTGATGAAAATTGTAGGGTTTTTGCTGGGTATTTCAAAGAGATATTGGGAAATAAAGATGGGAATGGAGTAATTGTTCCACCATTGGTAGTTCTTGAAGCAGTTCACAAGGGTGATGAACATCATGTGTTAAACCAAGACGAGAAGAGCATATCGACTCAATTCGGATCAAAAAACGGACGGTATAATGTAATGTTCATTAATTTTTTAGCTTATATCTTCTTCATGTTCTAAAGTTTCTTCAAAATTTAGTAGGGTCTTTTTCAAAGAAATTATTTTTCGTATTTCATAATTGATTTATAGTTACCTATATTTATATAAAAAGCCCCAAGTTTATATCTTTTTAAACTAGCAAATTAAGGATAGAAGTATATTTAGACTAGACTTCCTCACAAAACTTTTTTATGGGTCCTACCAATATCAATTTATAATGTAAATGAATAAAATAATATTAAAAATATGAACAAAGTCTATAAACTTGAGTTAATTTGTTAATTTACAAACAATGTGAAAAAGCTTCCACATCATTTTTTTTTTGACTTTATATGTATCAAATATCACAAAGTAATGTGTCTTATTGATATATTTTCCTATATAGAGGAGAGCTATAAATACGTAGGAGCTAATCAGCTAAACAAGAATTAAAGACATCATGTAGATTTCTTAAAAATGGAAATGTTAGGAAAAAATAGGTTTACCTATTTTCCAGAAATGGGGGTTTCCCAAATTTGAACACAAATTCAGATACCGATACATTATTAAAATGGTTTAACGGTTATATATTTTTCTGTAAATTGTTGTTCTTTCATGCATTACCATAACTATTTTCTTATTGGAAACACAATAATACAAAGGAGAGCTATAAATACATAGGAACTAACAACAATTAGGGAAAGGGATCAAAGGCTCTCCTAACCAAACTAAAAGAGATCATGGATATATCTTAAGTATAAACACAATAATACAAAATATATGATCCAATAATATAGCTCATTTGACCCAATAAGCTATCGAAGATGCTTCTATTGTACATGATTTAAAGTGTTATGTTCTTGTGGTTGGCAACTAGTATATAATTATGATTCTTTAAGTTAGATCATTGGGTGTAGGTCATTGTTCATTGGTATTTTACTAAAGATAGTAAAATAGTATTACGTAACATGTTAAAACATGTTTAGGGTAATAGGAATAGGTTTTTTTTAATACCGGTTGAAATGCCTTGTGTTGAAGTCACCAACAAGTACTTTTTTCTTGGGGCTTTAGTGTTCCACAATTTATCTCTAATCTTGCATAGGATGTCCATTTTTAATCTCATTTGTTGAATAGGTATTACTGTGTTAAAACGAGATATAAAAATGGCTAGCTTTTTTTAATAGGCTCAGATGGACTGAGTTAGTATGACCATCAAACATTTTTTCTTTTATTAATAGTTATTAATTTTTTAATACAAGGTCATAAATATTCGAATACGCTTTCGGCAAGTTAAGCCCATTCCACCTTTTTGATTTGCTTCATGTTAAATTAAGCTTTTAGAATTCTATGTATTGATCGCTTGAAATAAAAGATAAACCAAATTGCTTTGTCATTTTGAATCGACCATTTTTAGTTAATTAAATCCATGTTTGAATTTGTCAATTTTCTTCCAATAATTTCTTCAAGTAACATCATTGACTTGGTCAAATAGCTGATTCGAACCAGATATCACATATTCTTTATACAAATGGTTTTATGGTATTAATTTTCCATTTATAGCAACAAAATGTGTTCCCATTTCCCCTTCCTACAACAAAATGAACACGTGAGACTTGATTGGCATGGAAACATGTCAAGACAAATATTTTTATCACCACTAGAAAATTGAATATCTGTTAAATTCATTGTTGATTAGCCATTAAAGCCTTTACAGATGGAATTTTTGATTGAAAGTTAATTAACACTTTTAATGCAACAGATATCAACGGTTGAAGTGTCACTATTATTCAGCTCTTGAGAAAACTAGCAAGTAACTTGACTTGCTAGTAACTTGTAGCTAATAGTTGGTAACTACTAGTAACGGAAACTTGGAATTTGAAACATGTAACTTTTATGTGTATAGAAATGTTTGGAAAAAAAATCATAAACTTTAAAAGGTTGTAAAAACAACATAAAATATACAAATAAAAACTAAAAATTCATCTTGGGTATTCCTACTAAAAGACAAGTGCTTACTTTTTGTTTTCTACTAATTTGATAAAGTCAAGCTATCTTATCATTTATAATCAATCCGTGACCCCAGCAATCAAACATACATTTTAGTTTTACTAATAAAATAAAATTCTATTTTAGACAATTTGATTTTTTATTCGATTATAAAACATTGATTCTAAAATGAAAATAGACTAAACATACGTTCAATTACTTTTAGATGTAATTTTCCCCTAATATGAAATTTGTACATGACCTATATATGATTTTGCATATATATAGTTTTGGGTAAAGAAATTAACTGAAATTATGCTCGTATTAATAATATAATGCATCCATAAATTCTAGCATGATGCAATATGTTTCAGGTTTTAAATATCATTAACTTATTTTTCTGTCTTTCTCCTTGTAATTTGACAAAGTCAAGCTATGATTTATGTATGATCTATTGATCCATGACCAAAACCTGTTTTATTTATTTATTTATTATTCTTATTATTTTTTTGCAGCCAATATGGACTGATAAAGGAGAAGAACAATCAGTGAAAACGCTCTCCAAGTTTCCATCTTTCTTCCCTGAAAGAGTCTCTCCCAGACTTCTCACTAACCAAAGATCATCTTCAACAACGTCAAAACCCTCCCCAAATCAAGACTATTCCGATTCAGAACCCGACAACAATTCTTGCTCCAATATGTCTTCATCCGATTCAGATACAGAAGAAATAGAGGTAATTAACGTAGCCATCACTAACCGATAACTACAAGATAGAAAAAACAAGAAAAATAATATTCTTCATTGTTTGTCTTAATCTTAACAACAAAATCTGTCTTGTTCTTTATAAGGTGAAAAACATCGAAATAGCATCGTCAGACAAGAAACAGAAACAACCCATCTTAATAGAGCCAAGGTACGTACAAATCTTACATTTCACATTCACAATTAAACTTCCCACTTTCGTGTTCTAAAATCTTGATTTTTAATTTGCTGTGAAAAACTGAAAACCCAGTTCTTTTGATCCTGCCATGGAAGACTACGAGAACCAGATTAACGAAGATAAACATGCAGATACACCCCCTAAAGATTTCGTTTGTCCAATAACAACCCATATATTTAACGACCCCGTTACGTTAGAAACCGGTCAAACTTATGAACGGAAAGCCATCCAACAATGGTTAGATAGAGGAAACGTTTCTTGCCCAATCACCAGACAAAAGCTTCACAGCGCTCATCTGCCCAAAACAAATTACGTCCTTAAAAGACTAATCGCCAGCTGGAAAGAATTGAGTCCCGGGAATGGGAATGGAACTGGGAATTCCAGTTATGACGATATCCTTCAGCTGACGTCACCCGACAGTGTAATAAGTCAAGCCACCATTGATGGAACACTCAACGAACTCAGACGTGCAATCACTAATCTTTGTACTTCCGAAGTGTTAAAAGAAGCCGAAACAGCTGTTCTCAAAATCGAAAGATTCTGGCAAGAAACAAACATGGAATTGGAAATTCAAACGATGCTTTCACAACCTCCGGTTATAAACGGATTTGTAGAGATTCTTTTCAGTTCAATCGACACCCGGGTTTTAATCGCAACGGTTTTTCTTCTTTCCGAACTCGGTTCACGAGATGGGAATGTAATCGCAACACTCACGAGAGTGGATTCCGATGTTGAATGTGTCGTTTCACTTTTTAAAAAAGGTTTATTTGAAGCGATTGTGTTGATTTACTTACTGAAACCTTCGATTCCGGGGCTTCTTCAAATGGAATTGGTGGATTCCCTTTTGAGTGTTGTGAGTAAAAAGGAAGATGAGTTTTTTAAGATGTGTGTGAAACCGAAAGCGGCTGCGGTTATGTTGTTGGGATGGATTGTTGGAAGTGGTGATGATGTGGCTGTTTTTGGAGTTGTTAAGAGGGTGATCTCTGGAAAGGCGATTGAATGTATTGTTGAAAGTTTGGAATCGGAATGGATAGAGGAAAGAATCATGGCTATTCGTATACTGTTGAGATGCATGCAAGAAGATGGAAAGTGTAGGAATGTAATTGCTGATAAAGCTGAACTTGCTCCGGTTTTAGAGAGTTTTGTTGAGGCAAACGATGGAGATCGGTTTGAGATTGTTCAATTTCTTTCTGAGTTAGTTAAACTAAACAGGTATTAGTTTAACTATATACACAGACCAAACTGGTTAGACTGTTTTGAACCAGACTGAATTTTTTCCAGTCCGGTTCAAGACAGTTTGAAAAAGCCCAGTACGGACTGGACCAGACTTTATCTTGTTTAGTTAGTTTATGGTTTATTTGTTATGTTTGTTATTATAGGAGAACATTCAACAATCAAATTCTACATATTATAAAGGACGAAGGAAGTTTTAGTACAATGCATACACTTCTCATATATCTACAAGCAGCTGCAACCGATCAATCTCCGGTTATCGCGGGTCTCCTTCTTCAACTAGACCTTCTGGTTTGACTCTTTCATCATATGAGCTCCCATTTTGAAACTCTCCCACCTTTTCATATTTTTATGTATTTATATATTAGGTTAAATGCAAGAAAACAATAACATATTTTCATATATTTATTATAGCACCTTACTTTGATTTCTTCTTATTACGACATTGTATTTTTAAAAATCTTTCCAATTATAGCAATGTCATTCATATACAAAACAATTTTTGTTGCTATAACTAGGTAAGTTTTTCAAAGTAGAATGTGCTAATAAGAAAAAAAAATTAAAAGTAACATGCTATTATTGGATTAATTTTTTGAAATATGATGCCTTAGTAAGAAAAATATTGAAAGTACAATGTTGTAATAGAAAGAAAAGGAAGTGGGATGCTTGAATAAACAAATAAATGAAAGTACATTGCTATTTCTTGAATTTAATTTAGCCCTTTACTTTACTATGCTAATGCAAAAATAACAATGTACCTTCGTATATAATTATGTATTACAACATCCTATTTTCATTTGCTCTCTTACATCAATGTATTTTCATTTTTCTTCCTTGTTAAGACATTGTACTTTGAAAAATCTACTTCATTATAACATTGTACTTTCAACTTTTTTTCTTGTTAGAACATTTTACTTTTAAAAATCTTCCGAATTCTAGTAATGAAAATTGCTTTGTATAGGGATGACATTGTTACAACTGGATAGATTTTTCAAAATACGATAATGTAACATGACTAAATGAAAGTAGAAAGCTATCATAAGCAAATATATAAAAGTATATGAGCTATTCCTTGCAGTTAACCTCCTTTATTCTTTTTATCTTCAATTTTGTAATTTGATTTACACACATCCTTGCAGGAAGAACCAAGAAAAATGAGTATTTATAGAGACGAGGCTATTGATACTCTTATATCATGTCTTAAAAATTCGGATTCCCCAGCTGCTCAAATTGCAGCTGCAGAGACAATTTTAGCCTTACAAGGCCGATTCTCATCTTCTGGGAAGCCTCTTGTTCGCATGTATCTTCTTAAACATGCTGGATTTGACAAAACTTATCGATCCACAATACGAAAAGAACAACTTTCAACCATTTCTGGAGAGCTTCATGACACTAAGGTTTTTTGCAATGTTTCTGTTCTTTCTATTTTGGTTTAAATGCAAGAAATAGCAAAGTACTTTCATTGATTTGTTTATTATAGCATCCTCAATTACAACATTGTATTTTGAAAAATCTACACAAGTACAACGGTGTCGTCTAAATACAAAACAATTTTCATTACTGCAATTGAGTAGATTTTTTCAAAGTATAATGTTATAATAAGGAAAAGGTTGAAAGTACAACCGATTTTCAAAATACAATGTCATAATAAGAAAAATGATTAATAAAAGTACAATACTAAAACAAAAAGAAATGAAACAACTATACCCAATTCTCATAAGGTCGTGGTGGGGTAAGGGGAAGTTAGATGTAGACAGTCTTACCTCCACCATTAGAGACTCATTTATTTGTTTAATATAGCATCCTACTTTCATTTCTTTCTTTCCTTGATATAAAAATATGTAAGTAGGATGATATAATACACAAATAAATGAAAATACAATGCTATTTCTTGCATTCATCCCTTCTTTTTCTCGTGTTGAGATACTCTAGACTTGTTTATACTAATGTCATTGGTTACTTTATAGGATGAGGAGAAAGCTGCTCAGGAATGGGAGCGAAAAATGGCGTTTGTTTTAACGAGCCATGAATTCGGTCTTATTTTTGAGGCTTTATCAGAAGGATTGAAGAGTAGATATGCAGAAGTATGTGCAGTTAGTTTTGTGTGTGCAACATGGCTTGTACACATGCTTAAGGTTCTTCCAGATACAGGAGTTCAAGGAGCAGCCCGAGTTTGCTTGTTGAATCGCTTTGTGTCTATCTTTAAATCTGCAAAAGATCCGGAAGATAAAGCCCTTTCCATGCTTGCACTTAGCAGTTTCATCCATGATCCTGGTTAGCAGCATCTAACTATAGATTTAAAAACTTGTTGATTACATGATTATAACATCTAGCTAGTGTTTGGTATGGAATGAGAGAAAGAATGGAATGATTCGTACTATAGGAATGGAAAAAAAAACATTTGTGTTGTCTGATGGAATGGAATGGACTATTGGTGAACGAATGTGATTCCTGATTCCTTCCATTTTGTTATTTTCCATCCCATCATGGAATGAAATGAAAAAAACTAATATAACCTGATTTTATTTATGGAATTTTAATTGGTACATTTTTCTTTGGTTATTTAAGTATTTTACCTTGCTTATTTCAGATGGGTTGCGGGATATAACCACACACATGAAGGATATCTTGAAGGGTTTGCGAGACTTCAAGAAATCATCTAATGTGGCTTTAGAAATGCTCAAAGTATTTTCAGAAGGGAGTGAATCTAGTGCAGTGAGTTTCTTGTTTTTTTTGTTGTGAAAAATGAACATGAAAAGTTGGTAATATTATCCGGGGTGCTAACTAGTTGTTCTTTATTATGGGTATGATACAGGATCTATGGAGTCATAAAGAACTAACACAACAAGATTGCAGCATGAATGGAGAAGTTCTATCGATAGCATCCATCAAAGACAAGATCTTTTCAGGCCATTCAGATGGCACAATAAAGGTAACTCTTTTACCTTTTCTAGATCATCAACTTAGAAAACCAATGTAGAAGTTATTTGTAGCTAACAACGTAAGACTTATAAGATGAGGGGACTCCTCATTCTCTATCCATATGGGATCACTTATTATCATAACACCCATATTTCATACCAAAGAAGATGCATATATGAGCCTCCAACTCAGATATCATTTTGTAACGCCCTATGCCTACCCGATGCGGGAAATCTTTTTTACACCAATTATGATGTTAAATCAACTCAAAATCATGTCTTATACCATTTTGGTATTGGTGTATATAAAACATCAAATTTGGTGCTTTTCTATTCATGTGCAGTATTAAAATTTTCTTTTTAAAAATTGGTTTTCAAGTTTAAATGCTATGGATTTTTTTTGTTCATTTGATTGTATAATAATATTTTAACAGTAATATTATATTATAAATTAAGTTGATATTAATTTACGATATATATTATATTAAATTCCTGTGTTTCGAACTTTAATATTTTCTAGCTAGTTATTTAAATGTATGTACAATATTTCTGTAAATGTATGTGTAATACTTGTTTATAGCTTATACTTTATACGTCCTTTATATACATAAAGTTTTATTTAATAAAACATTTGTTTCAATAATATGATAGGTAATTTGAAATAAAATATATACGAATGATTTATTTTTGTGTAATGGTATAATATATAAAGTAATTGTAATCAATAGATATGAGTCAAACTTTTGAAAAGCTAATAAATATAAGGATATTATTGAAAATCAATATACGTTAAAAAAATTTAATATACTTAAAATATTCTTTATGGTGTTAAAACCATGTAATGAGTTGGAGAAGAATCACTATTTATATGCCAAAAATTACATCATTTTGGTGCAAAAAGTGTTGTAATTATATATGGATTGGAGTGTTGGATATATGGTCTAATAGGATAACCCAACTTTTTGATAGACCCAAAACCATGGTAGAAGTTATTGGTAACACATAACTTCATCAGCTCCTCATTCTCTATCCATCTCGAACCAGTTATTATATTTACCCATATGAATACATGATCTAGGATTATATTTATTGTTCTAAAAAGAAATTATTTGACTGAATCATGAAGGTTTGGATGGATAAAGGTAGCGTGCTACATTTGATCCAAGAAATACGAGAACACTCAAAGGCAATCACTAGCTTGACTGTTCCACAGTCAGGGGACACTCTATACAGTGGTTCACATGATAAAACCGTCAGGGTAAGAGATAAAATTAGCGATTAATTTCTATCTCCATATTTCAAATTCTATTATGAGTTCATGGTTTAGTTCTGATTTGTTCCATTTCTCACAATATCAATAAACTAGTGGTGGTCTATTAACAAGGAATCGATACACTGCGAACAAGTGTATGATGTCAAAGATCAAGTTAACAATCTTCTAGTCGCCAATAGTATCTCATGCTTCATTCCTCAAGGTGCTGGAATCAAGGTACAACTTTATTCATCTTCATCTGTACATGTGCATGTTTTCCCTAGTAGTAACAAGATGAGAATCCATTAATGATGCCTCATATTCAAACTTGAGTATCATCTTCTTTGGACATGAGATTGGCTAGCTGGTAGGGCGCCAAGGGTGGCATTCATCCATATATTAATGCTATACGGCAAAATACAAAAAGCGCAATGTACAAAAAAACATTTTATCAATCTAGCTGTTTAACAATTTTCTCTTTTGATTAAAGCATTAGCTTTTTTAACCATCGGAAAGAAATACCATTTTCCCCAGTTAGCCAGTTTTATAAAAGGTTAAAGCATTTACCGATTTAGCCATTAAATTATATTTTTTTAAAGATTTTTATAGGTGTGTGTTGTTAGAAATTTGAGTATAGAAAGGCTTGGATATTCTGAAAATCGTGTTAAACACTTTCAGATTAAAATATTTGGGTGGTACTCCCAATCTTTAATCGGATAAGACTCCGAAAATTGAGAAAACAGAAGAGAGAATGTTCAAGATGTTATGAAGAAGAAGTGTACCAACCACAAATTTCGAATATGATCATATAACCAGAAAAACTTCCTGTCTTAAAACTGCCACATGACAGTTTTATGTCTTAAAACTGTCCAAAACGTCATAAACTAACTTAAATCCGAGTCTAAAATATGGATCACAAAACCGGGTACATTTACCAAAAACCCAGCCAGGGGCTCTGCCCCTTGGACCCCGCTCCCAGGGGCGCTGCCCCCGGACCCCCGTCGGTTCAGAGGCTTCGCCCCTAAATAACAGTATACTTTCAACAAAGACAAAATTAAACAAATGTGCACTCCGCACCATACCGATTTGTTCAATAATTGTCAAAGTGACATTGATCAACAAATTAACCCCATTACACTTAAATAACATTAGTGATATAAAATCACCAACATGTGTTTGTGTTTTTTGTATTTTACCCTCTTATCAAACACCAACAACCAGGAAAAATGGTTTTTCTAATTGTCCAAAGAGTATAAAGATTTACTCATTTTAGAAAATAGTTAAGAGTGCCTAAATCAATAAAATGGTGATTTATTTTGTCCTATTCAATTTGATAACTTCTATTTTAGTTGCTTTGCTAAGAAATGTTGGTATCAGATTCAATCATGGAGTGGAACATCAAAGCTACTTAATCCTAGTAAATATGTCAAGTGTTTGGCTCTTGTTCATGGGAGATTATATTCGGGATGCCAGGATAATAGCATTCAGGTGCAGATTATTGTGCCTTCATGGTTTCTCTTTCCAGGGTTCACCAAAAACTTATCATAATAAAACTTAATGACATTTTTACAGGAAATCGATTTGGCAACCGGAACATTGAGTTCCATACAAAGTGGATCAAGAAAACTACTTGGTAAGGCAAATCCAGTCCATGCCTTGAAAGTTCATGATGGACTCATATACTCAGCCAGCTCTTCTGTTGAAGGAACTTCATTGAAGGTATGTGCAGAGATTATTTAACTTTTACCAAAAATATGCAATATATTTTTGTCATCTAACAAGTCCATGCACGCAACATATTAACAACTTAATATAACAAACTCCCATTTTTTTTAACCATTTAATGTAAAATGTGAATTTCTTATACCATTTAGGGAAATTTCACAAAAATGATAAAAAAGGGGTAAGTTTGTTACATTGCATGATTAAAATATAACACATTGCATGGATTATAAGATGATGATAGTTTTATTATTATTATTATTATTTTTATTTTTTAATTATAGATTTTGAAGTTAAATTCCTAAATGAATTGAAAGTTAAGACATTAGTTTAGGTCGACCTAGCAATAATCATCGAATCAATCTAGTTTTTATTTTGTATATGTATATGAATTTGTACATTATCGACCTTTCTTTTGTTATTTTAAAGGTGTGGAACGCTTCAAATTACACTTTAAACCAAACAGTGTCATTGGGGAGTGAAGTACGGACAATGGTGGTTAGCTCAGATATAATTTATATGGGTTGCAAAGGAGGGATTGTGGAAGTATGGTGTAGAAAGAAACTTAGTAGAAAAGAAACACTACAAACTGGTACAAATTGTAGAGTTGTTTGCATGGCTCTAAATAGCAACGAAGATGTCTTGCTCATTGGAACTTCTGATGGAAGAATTCAGGTAATACATATTAATTTAGTTATACACATTCTCTTTAATTTTAACCTATTTTCAGTCCATTAATTTTATGGGCCACCTTGATCATTTACCATTTTTCTGCTCGTTTTGCAGGCTTGGGAAGTGAGTTAAAGATCTTGTTGTATATCAAAATAGTAGTACCATCAAGCGAAAAATGTCACTTAACAGATATATTCTTTTGAATGTTCATAAATGAGGTGATGTAATGTATAGGACTAACTGTAAAAAGAGTGCAAGGTATTTTCAACATTTTTTCAAATCATGGGCAACATATTCTTTTAGCTATTTAATGTAATAAACTTGCCATCTTTTATCATTGTATGTAAAATTTACTGAAAATGCTAAAGCCCTTTCATGAAATGGTAAAAGAATAGCAAGTTTGTTAAATTAAATTACATAGTTGAAAATGTATGTTATATAATTTGGTAAAATGAGGAAAATAAATTGCATATTTTTTGCGGTTTACCTTAATTTATTGGTGTACAGTTCTGATTATTTGTAACAAGCTTGTGTTATCTTTGGTTTGTTTTTGTCTAAGTGATTAAGAGCACTCAAGGTAGCCTAGAGGTTCGAGTTTGAATATATCATCTTGTAAAGTATTATTATTATTGTATTAATAAACAGGCAGCAATTAAAAAGTTTGCCCTTTGGTCTCTAGCCCATAGGAAACATTTGTTCAAGATTTTAATTCTTAAATAATTAATATAATGTTGTAATTATTTTACATACATTTTGGATGATTTTGACATGTTTTATTTCTAACTAATTTTAGAGAAAAAATTTATAATCCAAAATCAATAATAAGTAAAAGTTACACTATGCATAATTATAAACAATTGATTAGCTTAATTTCTAAATGATCTTATTTGGGTTTTTGCCATAAATGAACAACCGTTACTACAAGGTTCAACCTACAAAGCTTGTGTTATCATCATCATTTTTATTTATTTATTTATTATTATTTTTTTCATATTTGACATATGTTTGTTCATCATCATCATCATCATCCTTTTTTTTTAACGGCTTACAAACCCACTACTCAAATCCTAAATATACATATTTCATGCGTAGCAGGACTTTAACATTTAATCTTTGGCTAAAGGGTACCGATCAGTTAACTTCTAATACCACAAGGCGAAAGGCTATTTGGTTTTGTTCTTCTTCTGATCTATGCTAAACAACTCTCAAATTCCTTGGATTTTGATCGATCAATGTTGTGAAATACGAAGGATCCGAATAGACTTAAATAATATTAGCTCAATGCGGAATGGGATCAAAAATTATCAAAGCGTAATAATCACAACGTAATACGAATAAAATAAATAGAATAGAGACACAAGAATTTACGTGGAAACCCAAATCGGGAAAAAACCACGGGCGGAGGAAGCCGAGAAACAATTCCCTATAATTTGAAGTGTTTACAGGGATTATGAAAGAAATTACAAATAAAGTGAGAGAGCTAAAATACACGGTGGTGTATCAGTATATATATGTAATACTTTTTCTATATATACTTGGATGATATTTTGATTGTTAT